AAAATAAACTTTCCGAAAGAAGTTACGTGAAATTAATTGAAGATTCCTTCTATTGTGCCTCTAGAAGTGATATTTCATATTCCCCGATTTTCTCGCCCTGCTCCTCCATCGTGACCATCGTGACCATAAGGTGACTGAAATTGGTCAATGAATATTTCATTACATACCAGATTTGTTGTATGCTAGACGTCGATATGAAAAACGAAGTGTCATAAAATGTATACATTGGAGCGCGTGAAACCAAAGTACACAAATATAAAGAAAGGGCCCGATGTCTAATGTCTACTGTACAGGTGACTTAAGGTGTAATTTAATGTGCACACTGACTACATTATTTCACCCTCTTCTCTGCCTCGAAGTGGAGGACAAACATTCTCCATTCTCCAGTTAAAACATATTGTATTCGTCCACAATGGACGATGTATACCTAGCTATGGCTCATGTTCGAAGGTGTTTCGTTCCGGTTGAACTACAGGTAACTGTATCCTACCAACCCGATGTATCATATCACGTGACAGGCTATCGAACGTGCGACATTTAATCATGGTAACATCCCGTTTATATATATATTGCCTAAAAATACAACAAAGAGATCTTGTTTCTCTACAACATTCAGAAATCAAGAAACGGACTGATCTTGCTTTTTAAAGTTACATTTCCCTTCATATTGAATCCGATAGAATGCAAAGACTTTAGCTCATAAAGATTAATGTAAAGTGGGAAATGAGACTTAAAAGAAAGACGTTTTGTTATTTTTAATTATTGAATACAGTGCTAATCGACGGTAAATTTCCGTTGCTTTATGATAAATAAGTATTTGATATGATACCCGATTTTTATAAACTATATTAATATTAATTGATAACGGTAAATCTATCATATGTTTGATTGCGTATTTCATAACTGTACAACTTTTTATTTCGAATTTCTTTAACATAAGTAATAGCTCACAATGAAAAATCGATATCAACACACCTGTAATGAAGAAGATAATATATATAAAGAAAAGGTACCCACACATTTTTGAGTAGTACAATGTCATCGAACTTAAAACAAATTGTCATTTCTATGTTTATTGTCCATATGAAGATATTCAAATAATGCTTTCCAAGTATAGATATTTCGGTATTTCTCCAATCAAAGTACTTGCAGATTTACAGAATCTAAAAAAAAAACCCAACATAATTGCTATGTTACTGCAGCGGCAATAGTGCAATCGGAACTTCACAGACGTCCGATTAATTAATGTGGAACTTTGGGATTGTTTATACGTAATTTGGAACTTTAGGATTGTTTATACTTAATGTGAAACTTTGGGATTGTTTATACTTAATGTGAAAATTTGGGATTGTTTATACTCAATGTGGAACTTTGGGATTGTTTATACTTAATGTGAAACTTTGGGATTGTTTATACGTAATTTGGAACTTTGGGATTGTTTATACGTAATTTGGAACTTTGGGATTGTTTATACTTAATGTGAAACTTTGGGATTGTTTATACTTAATGTGAAACTTCGGGATCGTTTATACTCAATGTGAAACTTTGGGATTGTTTATACTTAATGTGAAACTTTGGGATTGTTTATACTCAATGTGGAACTTTGGGATTGTTTATACTTAATGTGAAACTTTGGGATTGTTTATACGTATTTTGGAACTTTGGGATTGTTTATACGTAATTTGGAACTTTGGGATTGTTTATACTTAATGTGAAACTTTGGGATTGTTTATACGTAATTTGGAACTTTGGGATTGTTTATACGTAATTTGGAACTTTGGGATTGTTTATACTTAATGTGAAACTTTGGGATTGTTTATACTTAATGTGAAACTTTGGGATTGTTTATACGTAATTTGGAACTTTGGGATTGTTTATACGTAATTTGGAACTTTGGGATTGTTTATACTTAATGTGAAACTTTGGGATTGTTTATACGTAATTTGGAACTTTGGAATTGTTTATACTTAATGTGAAACTTCGGGATTGTTTATACGTAATCAATGTGGAACTTCGGGATTATTTAAACTTAATGTGGAACTTTGGGATTGTTTATACTTAATGTGAAACTTTGGAATTGTTTTTCCTCGATGTGGAACTTCGGGATTGTTTCTACTTAATGTGAAACTTCGGGATTGTTTATACTTAATATGAAACTTTGGGATTGTTTTTACTCAATGTGGAACTTCGGGATTGTTTCTACTTCTACTTTCCACTTTAACAGTTTTGTTTAAATCGATGTTTCTATGTTCTATATCTTTATTAAACAAATATAAAATAACACGGAACATATCCAAATTAATTCCATAGTGATAATAACAAGTATTTACAGGTACACGTTAGCATACAATATTTTTGCTTTTTATCAGCATTACATAGTCCAGCTGAAACAATATTATTTTTGTTATCAGCCATTCTAGAGGCAGGTGTTAGCAGGATGACTCCATGTCATATTAATGGAATGACCGGGTATAATTAAGATCAGGTACGTGTATACAGCATCTATCTATATATATCTCCGGTTTTTTTTATGTATATCGCATACGGATTTAAAGAACCTTTATTTCTCAGACTGATGTTGTCTATAAACATGCTTCTGGTATTTTTAGAATCAGTATTGCATAATATATATATTTGTCTGTATGTTTTTCTTTCATTTTTTTTCATAATGTCCTATAATATCTACCTCAGCAAGTAAATACCATTATTCCTTACCGAATACATGTTCTTTAAATTCCTGTATTCGTGTGAAACATCACAATCTTATAGCATTAGAGCTAAAACTAATATATTACTGTAATCTGGAAAAGCCTCGTGTAAAAATAATAATCAATTTCAAAAGCCCGCAGTACAATTTCTAGGATAGAATAAGATTTTTTTTCTTACTGCACACCATAATATAAAAATAAAACATGCGTTGATATCATAGACACAGCATGGGAATTACAAGAATTGACAGTTTTATACTTATCATAGAGGTTGGTTACACTTTGATCCTGGACTAGGTATGTGTGTTTACCATAGGAATATATGTTGGACTAGAGCCAAGCAAACGAATGAATTCAATGTTCAGTTGACATTCATGGACATAAGAATACCAACAGGATGATAAATGGCAAATTCAATGAAGCGCCGCACTTTCGAATCTTTCAGTACAATACTTATATGTCTGTTTTTATCTTGTTGTAAGGGAAGGCAACTTAACTGGTTTATATTTCTTGTAATACTGCAAAACAGTTCATGAGCTGGTAATACATCTGATATTTGCAAGGTTACTTCGTAGCAATGCCACACAATAGTAAATAGATATAATATTTTAATTTACACAATTATATACAACGTAATACAATGAATGTTAGACTCCTGCATTCTCATTGAGATCATTGATTGATTTTATGTCACAGCGGACAATTCCACTACACATAAAACATTGACTAATTTACAAGCAATGTATCATGCACTTAAAGTGACCCACAGAAACGTATTAGTTTCATTTAACAGAAGTCCTACATATTTAATGGTGATATGTCGGCAAAGCACCTGTTACATAAAATTACACGTGGATGCAATCGTCGATCAAATCAGAGATATATTTCTGTTATGTCATTTAGTGCTTCCCGGGGGGAAAACGAAATGAAAAAAAAGACCTAATAACGGAACATATTAACATTAATGTCATAATGGTTTTGTTGTCACCACTCAGATATTGTAAACATAGCAATCACAACCTCGCACCAACATCATTAGCTGCTCAATAATATGATAAAACAGATTGTTTTAAATCATACTCCCCTAACAGAATGAATCAACCAGCCAGAAGTTTAAAACAGATTGTCGATAGTGTTTTCATGATAAATGTAATGAATCATTATCAGCATTTGATACACAAACTCCAGATAATTACAAATCAACTCTCCTATATTCAATACTCTGGATGTAATAGAATTGTGAATAACTTTGATAACGTGCCATCATAAAATTCATCAATTTAAATCTTTAAATGACACTTATATTTACATAAGTAAACAAATTCTGGAGAAGACATCTGTAGTCGTAGACATCACTTAATATAATTCGTTTAATGAAATACTTTGTAAAAACAAAGCCTTTGTGATTAAGACATTTGTGTGATACAAATTGTAATCACCACCACATGATACATATTGCCACAATCAAATTTTGATTACAACTGTAGTAACTGTTTCACCCAATAAACGACCAGACCATGGTAAGCATGAAGAATCTACTAAAACGAGACCTTCAGCCGATTAGATATGCCTTTCACGCCAACAGAACTGAAGTGATAACCCTTAATCAATGTTTCAGTTAAGTTTCTGTGCGACTGCGTGCGGTACCCGATAAAATAATGAGTAATTTAATGTTTATTGCACATTTACACATTTGATTGTATACAGCGAATAATTTAAATGGAAACGTGTTGGTATATTTCTGTGGAAGGTACTAATTTAAAAAATAAGAACAAATCCCCAATTCTGTATTGGGAGGTAACATTACAACATATATGTCTCATAACACATATTGTATGTATAAATAAACAACAAACTTGGTTAGGGAGTATGATGATAACAAATATGTATCATAACACAAAATGTATAACAAACAATCTTGTATTGAAAGAATGATCAGTTATGTTTTTGGAATGAACAACATATTACATTCAACAAAATACATTATTTATATAATATGCAACGTTTCTATGACCGGGCATACATAGCCTTCAATGTATTTTATCACCAGAACTTATAAGATTATTTCGGTTTATTGAAACCTACATATGTCTTGCAATTTTTCATTAAAAACATAAAACCATGTGATGCGCCCTTCCCCTATTCTATCCTTATTATATAACATCCACAACTAGCATTGATGTCTTTGTCTCATTTTACCAGAAGATATCGTATTGAACTGATTATTAGGAGAAAAGTAAATTTGCTGCCACGGAAACAGATGTGCATGTTTGTTGTAACACACTCATCTGATCATACATCGTCCTCCAATGAGTCTGCATTCGTGGGTTTGGACTTCAGCCAGGTGTTAAGGAGGAATATCACTTGATCTAGCTTCTGGTCTGTCTTCTGCATCTGAAGAATTGGAGAAAATCACCGTATGTAACTCCAATATATAAACCCTATATATACTGTAAACATATCTATTTTTGCGCAAACAAATTTTAGCACAATGCCAATTTTGAACAAATAAGCGCATTCGCAAAAATTGCTTTATAAACGGCGTACAAAAACAGCAATTAGCGCTCTCATATTTTCGCTCCATATGTTCAGTGCGAAAATATGTACATTCACAGTAATTGTCTATTAATATACTTTGCTAACGCTAATTTGATGCACTTCCACTAGATCTTCAGGTAACAGTTTCCAAACACGCAGAACGTTAATGTGATCTTTTACTCTTTCTTTGTGAACTTTGCATATATGCTAGAGATAGTTTTAACAACTTACTTGCGTCTCCATTCGGACAATCCTAGCACCGATTGTCATCCTTTCCCTATCTTTATAACAGTTTGAGTACAATGTTCCTGGTTTGCCTAATGTCTGGTCCAACCTGTTCAAAAATGCTTCTTAATATAAAAACTGATGTCTGATATGTACACCACAACTACAGACAATAAAGTTAGATCGAAGGTTGTAAAAACGATTCAGCATAATTTCACGAATCCTTTTATGTATATGATCTGTTTGTACTTCAGAATGTAAGCTACTAGACACAATGAACAACCTGACACCAGGATTGGCAGCGTAAGACGCGTTTGAATCCTAGCTAAATACAGTTAAGTGAACTACAATGAAAGTAATTCCACTGTTAATGCTCCGGGTCGAGTTGTCTTTTGAACATCAATAACAATACCAATTTGTTCTGATCTGAAAACTTCTAAACATCGCCCAATGGCTCAAACAGTTAAACTAGGGTTTTTTTTTTTTTTTTTTTTGAACTTTTTATTCAGATTGAACTTGAACCTTACTGCTTTCGAAAGTTAACAACATTAAAAGCCTTATGCAGTTTAGGAACTCTACAGTATATCGGACACACTGAACAATTTTGTACTCTTGCCAATGGAATTTATTAGGTCGGTTATAACATTCCAACCACCAGTCACGATTCTAGAACATTTGAAATAAAGAACAACATATATTATACGCTTTGTATAACATTTCTACAAATAGTAAGATTTTCTACAACCATTTAAAACTTCAAAATTACCTTCGTTGTAACTCTTTGATTCTAACCATCATATTAAGATGACCTTGTGAATATTGCTCAATGACATCTCGAACATCGTACGGTTTTCTGGCTTGCTAGAAAAAAAGTATATAAGTTTGTAATTCAGACGAAAGCACAAAAGAAAAAAAACACAAAAAATATCAAAATATCAACAAATGGTTATCCAAACTGAAATTAAATAAAACAAGGGCAAGTTATGAACAAATGAAAGATGTACAATACGACTCCTATTTTTTTTAGTCAACTCTACTGATAAGACAAGAACAGGCTTAACCCTAACCCTACCCTAATCCTAACCTTCACCTAAAATATTAGGAAACAATGACAATTCACTTACTGACACAAAAGTAAAAACTAGAAAATGTCTGTAAGACATGAATGCCCCCCCCCCCATGTGAAATAATAGTGAAAGATCCGAAAGAGATGATTTTGTTAATTTGTATGCAACTATGTACAACTTAAGTTTCAAACTTAAATTGACAAGTTGATTTAACATACATGAATTTGGAATTTTGTTCTCTGGAAAAAATGAGGGAGTATATTAGTTCCTTATGCCTTAAAACCCACAAGTACCAAATTATGTAGAAATAAGATGTTCCTCTTTTTTGAGTTATCTTCCCCTGATGGCCATCTTTTTTTAGAATGCCGAGAAATACAACACTGCATGAGGTCTTTCCATACTTGATATTTGTATGAAGTTTCATGAAAATTGCCTTCCGAATGAAGTTGTTAAGTGGTATATACTGATTTGGGACGCGACGGGACGCATAAATGGCGGGGGCATAAAAATGCATAGAGAGAGAGAGAGAGAGAGAGAGAGAGAGAGAGAGAGAGAGAGAGAGAGAGAGAGAGAGAGAGAGAGAGAGAGAGAGAGAGAGAGAGAGAGAGAGAGAGAGAGAGATAGAGAGAGAGAGAGAGAGCAATTGTGTACTTACCTGAAATTTTCTTCTTGCAACAAAGTATTTAATTTTTCGCAGTACCCGTATTGCTGTTTTATGAGCATCTGTTAGTCTGCAAATTTATAAGATAACACGGAGTGTCAAGATTTGATCTAATTTGGCTACTACGGTATGTTATATTCATCGCTCATGATATGAAATGACAACGGGAATAGCAGTACATACTGAAATCTACCCACGATATTCAAGTCGCAGACAGGCATTTTGAAGGCGACACAATATCTAAATATGTTTACGAACATAAAAAATATATCTTGAATTTTCAAATGAGGGATATCTTTTGTATTGGTTAATTACCTCAATATTTAATAAAGTTAGCAATAAAATATACTAGACACACCATGCATGTTGTTTAAATACTTTATTGTATAAATATGGACAGTGCAAAATTTCACTCTCTTTTAATGTCAATAAGATGTCTGTAGTCACTATCGTGTAACATATCTTTATCTTATCCCAATTTGTATCCCTATACTAAACTGCAGCTCTGAAGACAAAGGAATCGATTTCTTGTTAGAAAATCAATGAATGATTAGAGGTGCAAACAGACATCTTAACTGACAAAAAGACAGGGATTTGATTGTGTAAGTAAAATTGTTAGTTCAAAATGACATAACACCTGTACACATACTGCACAACTTTCTCCACATCATCTAAATCATATTCCAATGGATCATCATACTGGTCGTTACTTCCAACACTAGGATGGTTGGGCATAATATTGGGACGAGAACTATCCCGCCTGTTACTACGTGGAGTCCCTGTAACATAGTAATCATAGACCAGAGCGGTAAGTGTTTACCACTCATAATCATACGAACACATATATTATATATACATCAAATCATATGCACCATAACATAATACTTTCCCTTTCTCAAAACGTTTGTTAGCATTGCATTGTCTAACCTGTCCATATTTCTTTATCTTACAATCTTTATCAAACCAACCTGGCAACGATCGGGTGTGACGGTAATAATCCTCCACTATTATCTTCGAAGTTCTATATACATTGTATCAAACAAAGACCATCCCTTTTGTCTTCCTGTCAACTCTTAACCTTTAACACCCATTCAACAGATTTTCAAAGGTTTAGATGACAACATAATTTCCTCCGGAGTTAATCTAGAGATTTATTTGTTATTGTAAGAGTAGCATTGTCTTCCTTGCATGTCGCCCAACTCTCATTTGATGTTTTCGAATACATTGATTTAATTAAGACCAGATGAAAGACCCAAACATGAGTTATTCCCCTTCGGACATCAGGGAACGACGTTCAGTTTAAAGAAATGGGACTGCCGATACTGAATTACTAAATTATAACACCTTTAAACATTCTTATTTCAACTTCGTCGCTTACCTCAGTATTCGTATTTAATTAGCGGACAAATTTGTGTCGCTAAAAGAAAATAATTTAGAAAATAAACATTTAAAATAAGGAGTAAGGAGTATTTATTATGAAGTCGTGGCAAGATTAATAGCAAATTTAGCTAACTATTAAATACAAGCTGATCAGCAAGTAGCCATTTTATTTTCACCAATAATCTCGAAAATTAAACATGCACATTAAGGATCAAGGGAAGCTCACACAAATCTTCACATGAAAATGGTTGATATCTATCCTGTAACTCTTTTGGAAAGGATCCAAGACAGAGAAGATAATGGTCAACAAATAATAAACAAAATTATCTATATAGTTAACCATCTGCTGATGGTGATCAACATTTTTCAAAATACAATTCAATTTTGCTTGAAAAGAAACTCCATTTAGATGATAATAATAGGCCATTTTCATATCTTAGTAAGGAAGAGTGCCATTGGCAAGGTGTGCCGGAGTTTTACCAATTTTGTCTTCCTGGTAGAAACTGGTGAGGCTCTCCCTGCGGACGTGATTACCAATGGAAATGGAGTCCATGCGTGATGACCGTCGTTTACGTAGTGTGAGACTGGCACGTCTCGCCATTCGGGCAAGCATTGTCTCCTCATTGGACGAGTCATGGATGTGAATTTTCCAAGTGGCTTCTGAGTTTGACGTTGGGTCAGCAGCATAACATCTCCAAACACACTGAGGGGGATATAGTATTAATGAAAATAAGGCTCTCGGGAAATTCAAAGTCAAGAAAAAAGACCTCTTTAATGAATGATGGAATTGATGCCTTCGATCCAGTTTCATCCTGACCAAGTAGTATTTATAACGCCCCAAGCTATTCCCAAATAAATGTGCTTTAATAAGTCCAGATACCTACGTCAAATAATATAAGTCATACAAGAACATCGCTGATAAAACAGTAATTCACTGACCACGACAATTACCTGTATAAGCGTTGCCGCCGCTGGAATTTGTCTGTTGAAATGTTTTTGTCGTTGTTTCTGCTGTACCTTCAAGGCGAACCCTGATCCCAAAATGCCCTACAAACAACATTAGAGCACCATCAATATCAAAACCAGTTTGGATTCATACATATTCGTTTACCTCACAAATATGATAATTATTCGAGAAAAAATGGTTTCCATAAAATTGGCTGATACATTGGAAAGATGGCCAGGAACTGTCATGAAGTTTTCTCATTTAAATGTTATATATATGTATATATAGAAAAAAGTTAAAACACTGGAAACACATGACGCAAAACAAAAGCGCTTTATACATATTCATATATATATATGAATGATTATATATATTATGTACTTACAGCAGGAAGAGCGAAGAAGGATATAGCAAAAACTGCAAAACAGGAAGCTACGATTTTACCCATCCAAGTCTGTGGAACTTTGTCCCCATATCCAATGGTCATCACAGTTATCTAAAACATCGGAAAACAATTTCCAATAACGCCGAAGATAAAGCTTCATTTGTCTTTCATTGACCATGTATAGTTTTAAACTTTTAACGAATATCAATTAGAACTAGAAACCTGACAATGCCTACAATGAAGGTAAAACCTACGTTTTATATGAAATCTGCGGTTTGTGAAATAATCAAAGTCATCTTAGAAGTCAGGTGATAGTGATGATATTATTTATTATCTTGTAGGGACTAATAAGAATACTTAGTAAGTGAAATTCATAATGTAAAGTTTTTTGTTTTGTTGATAACTTCAAATAACAGTTTTATCAAATGTTTGAAAAAAAGCAATATGGTGTCCCAAACTCATCTTTTATATGGCGTTCTTTTGAAATTACTAACTATATAAATAGTTGGGTTGGAAGATAAATTTTAATGTCGCCATGAATATTTATCTTACAACAGGACAATTTATTTGTAACGGATTTTACATTTGAACACTGTAAACTGAAAGTGAAGTGAAAGTGACCGGCAGCCAGTATTGTTTACCAAGGGGATTTATTAATTCCTGCACAGAATCACTCTGAATTGTAGTATACAGTCTCATTAACTACAATTGGCATAATAATGGTATACAGACACACAACACAGATTGTTAATATTACGTTTCTATCTATCAGGATTACTTTTTGACTTTTTGGTGGACATCTTACCTGGACCCCAAAATCTGCATTCAAACACTTGACCAGATGGGCGTATATAGCCTGATATACCCCCTTCTGGTTTACAAATAAATAAAAAAAAACTGACAGTAGAACGAAAATATAGAATCATACGGCAACTGTACCTCCCCATGTAAAGCTTTGGTTTTTCACACTCGCCTCCTAGTTAAAAATTTAAGGCCCCTAGTATCATTGACGACACAGCTGCATGCATGATGCTGTGTATTTCCCCTGACTTTACAATATTCTGAGTTTGTCATTTTTGGACAATATTCAAGGCATCTGAGTTTTCACGATTTTAATCCATCTTATAAAAATAAGTTAACCCCTCGAAGTAACAGCATTGATGTCTCGCTAGCAAAAACCTTGACAAAGAGTACGACCAATCTCAATCACTCAGTACTACAGCGATTATATAACACATCAATCCCTACTTACAACACCCCACCAAAGAGCATCTGCATAGCTGGAAAAGTCGTCTCTGGATTCGTCTCTTTCGGCTAGGTATACAAAGTAGGATGAAAATATAAGGCCCAGAAATCCAATGTATAAAGTTGTAATTAACTCCTGCAAAAGTAGAAATATATGAATGATTAAGTACCAAAATGACATATGATGTAACATACTTTTTTTTTTTTTTTTTTTAAAAAGTCGATCCTAATATTTTAAAAAGAAAGGTTCAACATTTTGTTAAAGGTAATATGCCGCAGTGCACTTGTGTCGAAAAAGAAAAAGAACTTCAAAAGGGATGGGCAAAGGGATGGGAAAATATTGAAAATTTCGAATTTCAGTGGTTGGGTGAATTGCAGATTTTCTGGTTTTTAATTTTGTTATTTGAAATCGGTTATATCAAATCGACGTTAAAATCGATGTGACAAAATACACATTTTGTTTCATGGTTATTGCAACAATCCGTAATGGAATAAAATGTGTCTTGGTTACGATTATGGGGCAATCAAAAATTCAAAAATAGTTCATAAAGTCTATGCAAGTTTCAAAATGACAAGTTTCGAATTGAGAGAGGGGTTCTTTGAATACAATAGTCCACTCAAATTTGTTGATGGAAATATAGAATATAACATATTTTGAAATTTCATCAAGATAATGAAGTTGTTTGAAGACTGGTTAATTTAGTGCATCATTAGACCACTTGATCATCTTGCTAAGGCCTTAACCGTACAGTTTGTACTAACCTGTCTGTGTAAATATATGACAGATCCCAATAGTCTCCAAGTGCCACCTTGTCTATCTACATGCAACATCCGTAAAATCTGTAAAAACCGCACCCCCCTGAAAAAGAGAAAAATAGCTTTTATGTCGGCTCCAGATATATCAAATTAAATCTAAACATTTTATATTTTACAAAAACCAATATTGGTCTTCTAAAATCACCAGACAAGATGGAAACGTACATTTGAGTGAATAGCAAAATTCCGACAGGTTAACAAAAGGCTATTACAATTCGAAAAAGCGAGGGCTAAACATTAAAACTAAGGAAGATGTACGCAATGATACTTTTAACTGTACAATGAGAATAAGACCACGTGGTCTTGAAGGATAGCGTTTTCTGCTTCGTCGACGACACCTGACGTTAATAACGAAACTACCAGGCATGTTAATGAACATCAAAGGCATTGAAATCACCAATTGCGATTAAAAAGCTTCCATGTAATCTCCATTAACCCGAATCTCACATATTCCTGAGTTGTTTTTTGCCAACTGGCGACAACTTTCACCGCAAATGTGATATTAAGATTGAGAATTGTGAATACTGAACCAGCCGGACATACATATATCGTAGCAAGATGGTTAGTTTATAAGGTTTTATCTAAGAACGCAAACTTAACTACAGGAAATTTGAAATTATGAATTTTATGCTTTGTGAAAGTGTATGCTTTTGACGGCGTGGTATGTAAAGATCGAGATAAGCGGTTGATGTAGAGGAGCTATTTGTGTCCTTGATCTCACATTCTGGTAGGAATAATACACTGCATGTCAAGATTTTTGGTATATTCAGTCTCGTTTAAAGAAACAAGTCAGCCAAGAGGGAGGTAAAAAAGTAAATAAAGTAAGAATACATATGTCAATACTCTGCAGGAGATCACAGAAGATGTAATCAACCGGAAATTTGATCATTCTCCCGATTTGACAAAAAAGGACATTTCATTTTGACTTTTCCGAACTTTTCATAAAAATACTGTTCAGTAACTGTAGAACCATAATACATTAGCAACAGTATGACGTTTGAATTTGGCCACATGAGGGTATGAAAATTGTACAAATGACACACAAGTGAATACCACCTTTCAATACAATTTTAGAATTAGATTCAGCCAAGCCAAATAATGCTGCTATTTCATCCCTCTAGGGCTCGCTGTGATGCTACAATCCTTAAGTTGGAGGAAACTGAGGGAAACCAAGATTGATCGAAGGAAATGTCAAAATCGAGATGAAGAAATTTACTTTACTAAATTTGATTAACTTCGTAATTCAAGATATCTCATAACTCCCAAAGAGTACAGTAAGTCAACATTATCTCTGATTGGCCTAAAATTATTACTTTCAAAAACTGCCAAATGGCCATGTTGATAGTACTGAAAGTATAGGCCATACAACATACAATATGTCTCATATAATGTTTTGTGGAAAAAGGTAAAATAATGATAATAATAAAAAAACGCCCGAAGATCTAAACTAAAACATTTCCCTTGCCATGAATTAGATTGAATGCTGCTGAGCAATATCAATAAAAAAGACCCTAAATCCTTTTCCCCACAGACACGAAAAAAATATATACACTCTGGTAAATAGACATTGTTGGCAGTCGCGATCACTTTATTTAAACAAGCTGTCCCATCTGTTTTTACACGAAAAAACTGCTGTGATCATTACGTATTGCGTTAGCCACAAACAGAACTATTATTATTTCTGGAGGAATTCAAATAGAAGAGGCGTTTCATTTATGTGTTCTCAGTGACACATGGCTGCTTTAGAATCCTGCCAACATCCAGGTTACATCGATTAGAGTTATAATCACTGATTAGTATTTGATAAATTGATGAAAAAGAAATGCTTATGCTATTGGTATAGACATTAACATCAACCTTGAATGTATGTCTCTGTATTATGACCTTACGGTTAATGTAAGGTCATTTGTTAACTGAATATGTTATACTCAAGAAAATAAACGGCCAGTATATGCATTAAATCTGATTAAAATACATGTGTTTTTTCTGGTAACAGTATTTGACAAAAAATATTTTGACACTGCTTTTTAAGTATTAGGATATCATCATGTATAAAAGTTGCTCATTTGCAAATTGCAATTTACCGTACATGACAAGTGAAGTATTTTTTCCTATCTCAAGAAAGCTACAGTTTTTGGAAATATATACCAAATTTTGATATAAAAATCTGTATATTCAACGTTTGGAATATTGGGCTACTCTCAATATCGTCACGTGCTTCTTTAGTGCTTGTAAGCAACTGTTGAACGACATTGCATGATCACAGAAATTCTAGAATCAAATGTTAAAATACTAAAATGGCGAACATAAATAAAGCTGGCTTTCAAGATTCCCTAGTAGGATTACAGTCTTATTATAATGCTGATAATGCTGCTTACTCGAAAAATGAAATAATGGCGTGCATATTTCGAAAAAATAAAAGTAAAAAACAAAACAAAAGAGTTTTTGTCCAATTCTCTCTTTAAAAGCATTTCTTCCAAGAGATTTCTGCATTGTACCACATTGGAGTTTTCGTAGTTAGTCCACCTCCCCGTGTGGATTTCATTTTCCACTTTCGCGTTTTCAAGATTTTAGGCCCTTGATGCCCTTCAGCATTTCTGACCCAATAGGACGAAACAGCTGTATGACACAGTTGAATTGTTTGGCTATACTGTATCGAATTCCACAATAGTATTTAAATGTACCAATAACTTCTCAATTATGTTTGAGTTGTTTCAGTCGCCTCAATGATTTTACGAGTTTCAGGTCCTTAGCATTACTGACGATTCCTAAAATGACGAAACAGCTGCATAATGCACTGAGATTCGTATGATTTGCTCTCATGTATTTTACAAAAGTATATGTAAAGTAAAACGAGCTCATCTCTTGCTTTATGGTAGATCTTATAAGAGCAAATAACACAGACCCTGTCCTTTCATTTCACCTTTTGAACACATATATGAAGAAGACATCTTTAAATAGCTCAAAATTTATCGACCTTGTATCCATCGTATAAAACCACCATAATTGGAAATAGGAGACACTATCCACAACATTCTCTTGTCTTTTGCTACAATGAAACCAGTAGGGACAGCTTTCCATCACAAGCCTTCCATTTCTAGCTTTCCAAAGTAATAATGCTTACATGTCCCAGTTGAATATGTATTCCAAGGTATTGTTTATGAGGACGCAATTCCTGTGGAAGATGCCGAAAACAGATTGATGATCCTACCGAGAGATGCAGGTTGATATTGAGTAGGCGAGATTTTATGGTTGTCATCATAATCAGATTAGGAAATATCCCATTTGAATTAAGATGTGTTCAATGTTCTGATGGTTTCATTGTTAATTACCTTGTTCTAATTTAAGAACGTAGCATCATTTACTTAGATCGGCCAATATCTCCACATAAATCTTTCTTTGTTAATTGACCCATCCTACGTCTGATGGTCCATAGTTATGACATCGTTACATGAATGAATCAATAGAATACAGGACCACACAGTGTACATCAAATAAAGCGAGAAATGAGAGAGGAAATGCTCAAAACAGATATATGCAATCGAAAGTCATCATTTAAAATCATATGACTTTAAGACCTCGTGTCAATATAACAACTAACATAATACCGACATGGCAACAGAATCTCGAAGATTGTACTAAAAAAACATATGCAAAGCACCTTCATCGACCTGAATATCTCGAAATCATGTGTTGTATGTTTATCTGTCAGTTGTCAACATCTTTCAAGACAATCGTGACACTGGGAATAAGCCCTAGAATGTTACAATGTTGAATTCTGTCCCTGCCTGTTCAGTTTCGTTGTAGCCAAAGATTAGGGTAAGCGGCAGATATAAAAGAGTGTGTCGTATCCTTGATTGCTGATTCGGGAAAGAGGACATTTCACCACCAAATTCAATGAAGATATCGCTAGCAAGAAATTAGATCATTTTCACAATATGTAATTTCTCGGACATACAAAACCCTTCTTGCTTTCTGATTCTTTATATCATTTATGAATTTCTCTTACAACATAATATTGATTATAACTTATTAAGCCTTTCTTTACTTCAAGAAAAAACAAGACATTTTCATAATTAGAATTTATCAATGGATGATGTATTATGCTATTATGGGTACTGCGTACTCATGAACATTCTAACTATGTGCATGACCCAGCACATATGTTACACAACTAACTCGTGCAATGTAATTTCTGTCTGCATATTTTCAATGTTTTTAATTTGTTGGTGTTCAGATGTTTGTTTTTTCTCATGTAATTCTAAAGCAAACTAATTCCTTACTTCTAATTGAATGCAAGGAGGTGTGATACAGATTGTACGTCCATGATTGGATATTAGCCGATATAATAATGTCAACAACTGAAATACAATATAACTTGGAGGTAGCTTCAGGGTATATCGCACATTAGGACCAAATCATACATTCGACATTTTATTCAAGACCTAGGGCATCACTTAATACAAACATTAACGAAAACTTAAACGTGTATTCCACTGGGTTTGAGTTAATGAGTTATACTGAAAAAAAAAAAAAAAAAAAACGTTAGTCACAACTGAAATAGGTATAGCAGATCCAATTTGATTTCTGTTGTTCCTTGAGACAGAGAGAACGATAGAAAGCTCAAATCTGTAATCACAAGCGGTGGCAGTTATTGATCATCTTTCACATTTATGTTGTAACCAAGTTTTGATCATTTTTCAATATTAAGCATACTACCCCTAGAATATTCATATAGTGTGGACAATTATAGATTGATGGCGTTGCTATGGATACAACATTAATCACAATGCATGTTAAGCTTTGCCCGAGACAATGTCATTATTAAGACCGATGTTGACTGGAGAACTGTTTATTTATATATCATATAGACATGTTTTGCTCCTAGACCGATTGTAGGGCTACATGATATGACACTGATCAGGGCAAAGTGTGTTTTAACATGGCGATCCATGTAACATCAGAAAGAGAGAGCAACCTCTATTTACGCAACATTAAATGTTCTTGATTTTCAGTTGTACTAAGAATAAGGTTGAAAAATAAGTAGTCCTATGAATCTAGCTAGCACACAATATTATCCACATGTAAGATCATTATGAAATGGCTATCTAGTATATCTAATTACGAATTAGGTTCACAAATGAGACAATTATGTAACAAAACAATCCATCAGTTAGAAAACCGTAATTGGGTATTACCATTGAATGTAAGATAGAACATCAAAGACTTTTTACGTAGATATTTCCACATAGAAATCTTGATGCTACTTTGACTTGGTTAATTGCTTTACATACACAATTACTGAATATCTCATCATTTTATAGATCTTTAAGAACAACCTGGGTGTATGTTATAATACCGTCTAATCTACACGAATCTGGACATCTTTGTTTCATAATGTCACGAGAAAAAGTTTCAATTTGACCTTAATCTTTGGTGATCTTGACCTATAATCGGGCGACATATGGACATCAGTAGATATTAGCCAGTAATATTCAGATATGAATTTATTTTGGTGTATATTCTCATTTCTATTTGCAGTAATGGTGAATGTAACATTTGACCCCTGAACATGAAAGCATTTGAGGGCTAGCACATCCCGTGAAAAAGCAATGGAAAAGGTCTGAAAGTAATCATGCAAACGGAACTAAAGATATTTTTCCAGAAACCGATTTTTCCCAAACAACAACAACAGTGATCTTGACCTATGACATCAGGACACGAAAATCAATCCAATGAGGCACTTCCTTCTTTTTTCGGAAAAGCATTAGTTAAAGTATGAGTGAAATTGGCCTCAAAGAAATTGACATATTGTGAGTCTGTTGCTGATAAGGAAATGTCTATTCAGCCTTACTGACCAGAATTAACGTCACTGTTTGCAATGGTTCACAGGGATACATGACGTCCAGCTTGACCACAGAATGACTAAACCATAATATGATAGACTAAGTCAGATGTTTGTCCTACAGGTATAAGTGTGACGAACTAGCTGACTCTAGGAATAAGGTCTGAACTTAATCCCGCTACAATTGTGTAGGCTTTTCAGTAGGCCCTCCTACCTCTGCTTAACAGAAAGGCCTCCATCTCTCACAACCCTCCACTTCTGCTTCATAAAAGACCTTCATTTCTCCTATAGTGAACCTTCTACCTTCAGTATATTTCTGTTCTTTAGAAAGGCCCCCATTTTTCTTACAGTGGAATACTTTCCTTTTCGCCCAAAGCAGCTTTCATTCCTTCCACAGTGCAACCTCTACCTTCGCTGCAAGGAAAGCCTACATTTTCCTCATATATTCTTTTCTTTCATTCTGCTTTTCAGCGCACCCCTTACGATTTCGAAGGAACAATTTCATTTATCCCACAATTGGTGCTCTACCTCTGTTTCAAAGGACGACTCTTCTATATCTCACAGTGGATCCTCTATCTCTTCTTCAGAGATTTTGTTCTCATTCTCCCACAGTGGAACCTGTTTCACTTCTCCCAGGAATTTGGCCTCAATTTCATCCACAGTGCCATGCGCCTCCGTCTCCAAGGAAAACTTCAACTTCTTCCAAAGTTGACATGTTTTCAACTATGGTTGTAAGGAGGGCCTCCATTCCACTTGAAGCAATCTCTATCTCTCTATTCCATGATGGGTGGCAGATTTTTCAATACAAATCAGTGTATAGTTTGTATTGGATGACTTGACTTACAGGTAAGTAAAAAAGCAATGTAAAAGGAAACAGTAGAAGATCTCTACCTCGAATAGAATAGTCACAAAGTTATCATAGTGTCAGGTCATTCTGGTCAGATCAAACACTAGAATTTGTTTAACACAAGTCAAAAATGCTTGCAATTTGTTACAGAAACCTACTCAATCTATGTTATATACAAATTATATGTCATCACAATGTTTCATTTCAATAGTTTGTTCATTATATAACACAAGCATCTGCATGAAAGTGAATCACAACCTTATAATCAGTATGACACCATGAAACCATTTCCATTCTTGTAATTTTCTTAATTCTAAGCTTCTTGTAAGAAATAGACATATTTAGAATACCAAACCCAAGGTAAGAGTAAACGTTAGTGTGGGTAGATTACAGTGATGGATCCTCCTTGATAACATGTTCTGCTGAAGTAAGCCCCTGTAGACAAAACAGACCGGAGAACTAAAGACCTTGGAGTTGATGAGCAGCTTATGTTACTGTCCCTATAGAACCATGTTTATATATTCCTGGTTGTCTGTCTGCAGAAAGATTAGACTGAATAAATGTCTGTTTCATTCTGAGGATTATGTATGTATTTCCTGGTATTTTTCTTTCTTTCTTTAATTTTTAACATAAGTTATGTTATTTTTTTGTTGTTAGATGCAATCTTGGACAATCCCTGAACTTCCGTGATTCACAAATACTTTGAATTTTGTTAACTTAATTTGATTAACAAATTCAACAGAATCACATCGTTATTTTTAATATAAAATTTTAGCGTAACTCCTGATATTAATTTTGATCTGCATACTGATTTAGCCTTACCTGAAATACATAAGATCATTAGAAATGTACATATGTTACTTTTTGTGTTTTAATCATTGAATTCATGGTTATTCATAACTCACAAATCTATATGTCCATGAACTGATAGACAGAAAAAAACTGACACAGATTTTAGTTCTAATGTAAATTTTGTGGGCAAGATATATCTATGAAATCAAGTGCCAACAAATTCACTTTTTTGATAAAACCACAGAATTTTGGCCGCATGAAAATATCAGACTTCACTTTCCCTTTAACTTATTTATCTGTTTTGTTTGATCAATTTTAAAGAAGATTTTTTTAAAAATTCTTTGATTCTAGGGATAATAAGCATAAGCATTAGTAATATCTAATGTTACTCTCTACTACTGTATATGATATAACACATTGTATCTAAAAAGTTTGCAATTTTCATTGAATATTTTACATGTTTTTCTTCATATTTATTAAAAATTAAATTGGGGAAACTTAAAAACTACCTTAACAAGAATTTAATTGGTCAATTACAATACTTATGCTTTAGATAATAAATTTTACACATCAATGTAGAATATATGTAAATCAACATCATTTATTATCAAAAACAATGTTTCATAACATTCAATTGATTGGATACAAAATGAAAAAGTGAAAAATTTGCCGGTTCCCTTCAATCCGAAATTCTATCGCTAATCTAAACACATGTGCCCGGCAGTTTATAAACAAATATGGAGGGCACTTGATTGATAGTTCAACATTAAACACCAATTTGTTAACATTCACGGGCGATGTGTAATATTTCAATATTTTATTCTGATATGAAAGTTATTCAGCTCTTAAGCACCAATGACAACAAGAAGTTTGGGACACAACACAAAAATCAATTTACCTTATAGCTGAGGTAGCAAAAACTTGTCCCTCTGAACCCACACTAAACACGCCTATTGATGCAACTACCACTATAAGATCTGAAATGAAGAACAAAACAGAAATTATCACTCCATCGGGAGGTGTACAAAGTCAAGTACATATACAGAAATTATCACTCCATCGTTAGGTGTACAAAGTCAAGTACATATACAGAAATTATCACTCCATCGGGAGGTGTACAAAGACAGATACACAGAAATAACCACTCCATTGGGAGGTGTACAAAGACAGGAATACAGAAATAACCACTCCATTGGGAGGTGTACAAAATCAAGTATATACACAGAAATAACCACTCCGTTGGGAAGTGTACAAAGACAGATACACAGAAATAACCATTCCATTAGGAGGTGTACAAAGACAGATACACAGAAATTATCACTCCATTAGGAGGTGTACAAAGACAGACACACAGAAATAATCACTCCATTAGGAGGTGTACAAAGACAGACACACAGAAATAACCACTCCATTGGGAGGTGTACAATGACAGATACACAGAAATAACCACTCCATTAGGAGGTGTACAAAGACAGACACACAGAAATAACCACTCCATTGGGAGGTGTACAAAGACAGATACACAGAAATAACCACTACATTGGGAGGTGTACAAAGACAGACACACAGAAATAACCACTCCATTGGGAGATGTACAAAGACAGATACACAGAAATAACCACTTCATTAGGAGGTGTACAAAGACAGACACACAGAAATAACCACTCCATTGGGAGATGTACAAAGACAGATACACAGAAATAACCACTCCATTAGGAGGTGTACAAAGACAGACACACAGAAATAACCACTACATTGGGAGGTGTACAATGACAGATACACAGAAATAACCACTCCATTAGGAGGTGTACAAAGACAGATACACAGAAATACCCATTCCGTTGGGAGGTGTACATAGACAGATACACAGAAATAACCACTCCATTAGGAGGTGTACAAAGACAGACACACAGAAATAACCACTACATTGGGAGGTGTACAAAGACAGACACACAGAAATAACCACTCCATTGGGAGGTGTACAAAGACAGATACACAGAAATAACCACTCCATTGGGAGGTGTACAATGACAGATACACAGAAATAACCACTCCATTGGGAGGTGTACAAAGACAGACACACAGAAATAACCACTCCATTGGGAGGTGAACAAAGACAGATACACAGAAATTATCACTTCATTGGGAGATGTACAAAGACAGATACACAGAAATTATCACTACATTGGGAGGTGTACAAAGACAGATACACAGAAATAACCACTCCATTGGGAGGTGTACAAAGACAGATACACAGAAATAACCACTACATTGGGAGGTGTACAAAGACAGACACACAGAAATAACCTCTCCATTGGGAGATGTACAAAGACAGATACACAGAAATAACCACTCCATTGGGAGGTGTACAAAGACAGACACACAGAAATTATCACTTCATTGGGAGGTGTACAAAGACAGATACACAGAAATTATCACTACATTGGGAGGTGTACAAAGACAGATACACAGAAATAACCACTCCATTGGGAGGTGTACAAAGACAGATACACAGAAATAACCACTCCATTGGGAGGTGTACAAAATCAAGTACATATACAGAAATTAACACTTGAGAGGTTTAACAGCTTCAAAATACACATATATTACCTCTGGGAAAGTGCGCTACAAGGTATACAAATACATCATGTACATCAAAATGATACACAGACACGATCATTAGAGTGGTCTTTGCTGAAGTGGGGAGTTGTACACAGAAATGATCGCTGGGAAGGGTTACACAGAAATGATCGCTGGGGAGGGTTACACAGAAATGATTACTGAAGAGGGGTACGTAGACCTGATCATTGGGGAAGGGTACACAAAATTGATTACAAGGGTGGCATACACAAAAATGAACAGTGGGGAAGGTTACATACAAATGATCTGTGGGAAGGGTTACACAGAAATCACCATTGGGGTGGTGTTCAAGTTGATAAATGCTGAATTGTTGACTAGAGAGGTACAAATTGATAAACACAAAAGATGATATATTTCAAAGAACAATCCAGGTTTCATGGCAAGTACAATTGAATTGACACAGTAATTTCTTACATCCAATTGATCCCAAGTAATTCCTTTCAAACATTTTGACCATATTGGGATGTGATATAAATTCATCTGAATAAATCAGCAACAGGTTACAGAAGGGAGATAACTCAGAAACTAGAGACTAGGGGGGATTTTAGTCAAACATCAGAGACTAGAACAGGGAAATCTCTGAAATCAGTCACCAGATGGGAGATAACTTAGAAAATAGAGACTAGGGGGGATTTTAGTCAAACATCAGAGACTAGAACAGGGAAATCTCTGAAATCAGTCACCAGATGGGAGATAACTCAGAAACTAGAGACTAGGAAGAATGTTAGTAAAAAGTTAAAGACTAGAATGGGGAAAGCTCTGCAATCAGTCACCAGAAGGGAGGTAACTCGGAAAACTGTGACCAGAATGGAGATAACTCTAAAACCAGTGGTCAGAAGGTTGAAACTGGTGAATAATCTCAAAAGGATTTGGGTACATTAACTTTCTAGGATCAATAGCTTACAGTGTTAACAAATTAATGTCTTCAAATTCTCAAAGTATTTTTTTTGTACAAAGAGATTCAATGCTGACTGAGTTTATAAGTAAAATATAGCCAGTATATGTTCAATAATTCTACTATTAGTATGTGTTTCACTTCAGGAATTATTTTGGTTTCCTACCTGACTTTTTAGGTTATGTCACCTCTAAACTTCATTTTTAATCCAGCAAATGAGACAACCTCAGGTATGTACACTGAGTTAAAAGGGTGTTTCTACTAACTGATAATACCTATCTTAGTAACAGCTTTACATCAACATATGATGGTACAGTTTTATGATAAAATTAAACTTTGTAGTAAAAAAGTTTTCAGTGAATATTGGTCATAGCAACAATGTGAGTATCCTTGAGCAGGTAATTAATCAACATGTATTAGTGAAATCTCAACATGCTCCTTTTTATATTGAATTCAATTAATGAAATTAATGAGTTTTGAATTTCTCTTGTAAAAAGGACTATCTAAAGCAGAATGAGGATTTTTAATTTGCTGCCAGAGGATAACCACAAATGATACCACTGTAGGGATATCACTGCTAACTGTCATTAGATTTTTTTCAGTATTAAGACAAACTGTTCTTTTTTTAATTGCTCTCTTTTTTCATCTATTCCCTCATGTGCAAGCTGAGAGTACAGGTCACATTCAATGAAACCAAACCATTAACACCATCATTGGGACCGGACACAAGTGCTCTTAATAAATCGGTATGAAAATGCAGATATAATAGCTTTATAGTCACTTTTGTCCCTAATTTCATGGTCATGATATTAGTATGTAGTTTTATAACAATAAACAAACAGTAACTTTATCTAAGTTAAGCCAAATATAGCTAACTACTCTAACACCTTTTAGGTCAGGTACATGTAACTTAGAGGCAATTGTCAGTGGTCTGATATGTGAAATCAAAGTCGATGTAAAACTTTTAGGCTTTTTAAAACTGGTCTAAATAGTTAATTGATCTTAACAGTAAGATGGTCCTAGTAGTAAGGTGGTCTTTAAAGTTAGGTGGTCTTATTAATAAGGTTGTCCTAATAGTAAGGTGGTCTTATTAGTGAGGTGGTCTTATTAGTAAGGTGGTCTTAATAGTAAGGTGGTCTAAATAGTAAGGTGGTCTTATTAATAAGGTTGTCCAAATAGTAAGGTAGTCTTATTAGTTAGGTGGTCTTATTAATAAGGTGGTCTTAATAGTAAGGTGGTCTAAATAGTAAGGTGGCCTTATTAGTAAGGTGGTCTTATTAGTAAGGTTGTCCTAATAGTAAGTTGGTCTTATTAGTAAGGTGGTCTTATTAGTAAGGTTGTCCTAATAGTAAGTTGGCCTTATTAGTAAGGTGGTCTTATTAGTGAAGCATACAATACAGAGACATTTAGGGGATCATGTTACAAAGGTGGTCATACAGAATAAGATTTTTTTTTTGTATCTTTCATGGTTATATTTATGTAAGATATATTTACAAGGGTAAGGGTTTATATTGCAAGTAAACATGGAATTCTTCCTTTTTATCAATAAGTCTTATCTGCCACATTTATTTTGTAGTTATAACCATTAAAATGAAGAAGATTTGTACACAAGCAATATTACATGCTTCTGACACATGTTTAACCCTCCAAGAAGGGTTTCCATGTGGTGTCAAAAAAAAAACTTCTACAACAAAATAAAAATCCCATCAGTTCACCTAACTCCATGATGAACTGTTTGAGTTGAGCTTTGTAGATATAAAAGTTTGGAATTTCAGTAGCAACACACTGATTTATCTAACTAAAATGATACACAGCCTCCAGATATTCGTTTCAAGTTTTAACAAAAGAAACCTATTCCTTTTGATTACTAGGTCTAGTTGTATTTCCTTCAGCACAAAGTGCCACTGTCATACACCATAGATGTCCCTGACCTCGGGATCAAGTGTTCTATAATCTGTGAGCAGAGAATACTTCAGGTAAAATGTATGATATTTCTGTAAGAAACTGCATTACAAGTAAAACTATCAAGATTCTTTCTGTTACAATTTACAAACGAATATTCAGAAATTCATAAAAAAAGGATTTCAACCTTACTGAACTTACATATCGGCTGATTCACCAGTACCCAACTTGGACAGCCCCTAGTTTATAGTTTTCATTTACATCATACCAATACTTTTATTTGTAGTTTAAAACCTATATTCTAATCATCTTCTGAAGATCTGAGATAGTCATCTAGCTGTCAGCCATGTTGTATGTTTGATTAGTTCCAATACTGATAGGCACAACTTTTCAGGGACTATGCTGAATGGTACAGCAGGGAATGTATCAACAGACTGTGAATTGAAGTTTCAGAATAATACTGATAACAAAATTTCACCCTCAAAATTCATGTAGGCTATATGTTTTGATATATAAATTGATCCCAAGAGTCCTGCAAGAAGAACCATGGAACATTCCAAAAGAAATATATATCTGAACATGCCTTCCTGTTAAATCAATGTGGTACAATCTACCTTCAGAACAGTCCTTGCAATAGAGACATGAAATTTGTGTCCTGGATCATTCAAGGAAACTTATATACAAAATACAGGATTTGAGGAAGATATCTCCAGTACTTTTTGAGATGACAAACAGATCTAAACACCACAAATTACATTAGATTAGGGCAACTCTAACTGTCCATCATCTCTAGTTTGAGAGGTGCACATATATAGAAGGGCTAAAGGATTAAATCACTAGATTCCAGAACAGCTGGATTCCATTAAAATGCCTGTATCTTTTCAAAGTGTTCCATACATGAATTAGTCATCTACTCTGACAAAGGTGTACATGTAATTCACAGGTTCTGACAAAGGTGTACATGTAATTCACAGGTTCTGACAAAGGTGTACATGTAATTCACAGGTTCTGACAAAGGTGTACATGTAATTCACAGGTTCTGACAAAGGTGTACATGTAATTCACAGGTTCTGACAAAGGTGTACATGTAATTCACAGGTTCTGACAAAGGTGTACATGTAATTCACAGGTTCTGACAAAGGTGTACATGTAATCTACAAGTAAATACTATGACAAAGGTGTACATGTAATCTACAGGTAAATACTATGACAAAGGTGTACATGTAATCTACAGGGAAATACTGTGACAACAGTGTACATGTAATCTACAGGTAAATACTATGACAACCGTGTACATGTAATCTACAGGTAAATTCTCTGGCAAAGGTGTACATGTAATCTACAGGTAAATACTATGACAACAGTGTACATGTAATCTACAGGTAAATACTATGACAACAGTGTACATGTAATCTACAGGTAAATACTATGACAACCGTGTACATGTAATCTACAGGTAAATACTATGACAACCGTGTACATGTAATCTACAGGTAAATACTTTGACAACCGTGTACATGTAATCTACAGGTAAATACTATGACAAAGGTTTACCTGTAATCTACAGGTAAATACTGTGACAACAGTGTACATGTAATCTACAAGTAAATACTATGACAACAGTGTACATGTAGTTTACAGGTATATACTATGACAACAGTGTACATGTAATCTACAGGTAAATACTATGACAACAGTGTACATGTAGTTTACAGGTATATACTATGACAAAAGTGTACATGATTCTGAGCAGGTTGAACGTACCTATTATAGATATAGGTTTTCTGGCAAACCTTATTCTACCTTTGATTCCCATGTATTTACTACGACATCCAGCTGACCAAAGTCGTACAGCATATTCTATTCCAAAGAAACTAACCAAAACAATTTCCTGGAAAAAAGGCAGAAAGATGACCAAACAATTCAGTTTTACAATAAAGTTAAAGTCAATAGTATATCAGATTCATAGGGCTAAAATTCAAATGATGATAATATATGATAACTTCTGTATTACACAAGATAATAATAGATGTTAGCTTCTGTATTACACAAGATAATAACAGATGATAGCTTCTGTATTACACAAGATAATAATACATAATAGCTTCTGCATTACACAAGATAATAATAGATGTTAGCTTCTGTATTACACAAGATAATAACAGATGATAGCTTCTGTATTACACAAGATAATAATAGATGTTAGCTTCTGTATTACACAAGATAATAACAGATGATAGCTTCTGTATTACACAAGATAATAATAGATGTTAGCTTCTGTATTACACAAGATAATAACAGATGATAGCTTCTGTATTACACAAGATAATAATAGATGTTAGCTTCTGTATTACACAAGATAATAACAGATGATAGCTTCTGTATTACACAAGATAATAATAGATGTTAGCTTCTGTATTACACAAGATAATAACAGATGATAGCTTCTGTATTACACAAGATAATAACAGATGATAGCTTCTGTATTACACAAGATAATAATAGATGTTAGCTTCTGTATTACACAAGATAATAACAGATGATAGCTTCTGTATTACACATAATAATAATAACAGATGATAGCTTCTGTATTACACAAGATAATAATAGATGATAGCTTCTGTATTACACAAGATAATAATAGATGTTAGCTTCTGTGTTACACAAGATAATAATACATAATAGCTTCTGTATTACACAAGATAATAATAGATGTTAGCTTCTGTGTTACACAAGATAATAATACATAATAGCTTCTGTATTACACAAGATAATAAAAGATAACTTGTATGAGATAATAGTAGATTATTTCTGATGTATTACTAAATATACTTAATACCAGTACAACCCAAAACTCTGTTTATGTTATTGTATAAATTATGTTTTTCTTCATGAAATAAAATTATTAGAGAAATGATGTACCTACTGAGAACAACATCACTAAATGCATACATATCGTCCATTAATATTGTTTGTAAAGAGACATAATATTATACTTACCATATAGTATAGAGTTTCCATAGCAAAGCCAGAGTATTGTTCTATAGTGGATAAGACACTGAAGATAAGGCAGATGAGAACCATCATGAATCTGTAACATAGAAAATATTAATAATCTGTTATAAATATACACTCTGATTTATCATAGACCTTAGTCCCATCATATGTTATAAATATACACTCTGATTTATCATAGACCTTAGTCCCATCATAAATAGCTATCTGTTATAAATATACACTCTGATTTATCATAGACCTTAGTCCCATCATAAATAATCTGTTATAGAAATACACTCTGATTTATCATAGACCTTAGTCCCATCATAAATAATCTGTTATAAATATACACTCTGATTTATCATAGACCTTAGTCCCATCATAAATAATCTGTTATAAATATACACTCTGATTTATCATAGACCTTAGTCCCATCATAAATAATCTGTTATAGAAATACACTCTGATTTATCATAGGCCTTAGTCCCATCATATGTTATAAATATACACTCTGATTTATCATAGGCCTTAGTCCCATCATAAATAATCTGTTATAAATATACACTCTGATTTATCATAGACCTTAGTCCCATCATAAATAATCTGTTATAAATATACACTCTGATTTATCATAGACCTTAGTCCCATCATAAATAATCTGTTATAAATATACACTCTGATTGATCATAGACCTTAGTCCCATCATAAATAATCTGTTATAAATATACACTCTGATTTATCATAGACCTTAGTCCCATCATAAATAATCTGTTATAAATATACACTCTGATTTATCATAGACCTTAGTCCCATCATAAATAATCTGTTATAAATATACACTCTGATTTATCATAGACCTTAGTCCCATCATAAATAATCTGTTATAAAATACACTCTGATTTATCATAGACCTTAGTCCCATCATAAATAATCTGTTATAAATATACACTCTGATTTATCATAGACCTTAGTCCCATCATAAATAATCTGTTATAAATATACACTCTGATTTATCATAGACCTTAGTCCCATCATATGTTATAAATATACACTCTGATTTATCATAGACCTTAGTCCCATCATAAATAATCTGTTATAAATATACACTCTGATTTATCATAGACCTTAGTCCCATCATATGTTATAAATATACACTCTGATTTATCATAGACCTTAGTCCCATCATAAATAATCTGTTATAAATATACACTCTGATTTATCATAGACCTTAGTCCCATCATATGTTATAAATATACACTCTGATTTATCATAGACCTTAGTCCCATCATAAATAATCTGTTATAAATATACACTCTGATTTATCATAGACCTTAGTCCCATCATAAATAATCTGTTATAAATATACACTCTGATTTATCATAGACCTTAGTCCCATCATATGTTATAAATATACACTCTGATTTATCATAGGCCTTAGTCCCATCATAAATAATCTGTTATAAATATACACTCTGATTTATCATAGACCTTAGTCCCATCATAAATAATCTGTTATAAATATACACTCTGATTTATCATAGACCTTAATCCCATCAACTTCTTTACCAAGTTACATGTATATATTTACTTCTTGTGTTAATGACTTAACGCTCTGACAGGTGAGCAACCCAAGACAAGTCAGTAGAGAATGTGAAAAAATATTGATAATATACATATGTATGTATTCACTTTCAGAATCAGACTTTTATCTGTTGATCCTACTTACAAAGCATAGTTAAGTTATAAATGCCTATGAAAATGTATTTAGTCAAATGGGAAAACATACAGAGTAATGTTGACAAAAGTGTTTTGGGAATTTCTAAAAATAGTATAATCTTAAGCTACAGAATTAACATTTGTTTGTATAACCGTACAAATCAGCTTCATGCCAATGTTATTCTATAACAGTTATCATGGACTGGAATGAGATTGCATGTCTTGACCAAATTTCATGTAAATCATACTACAAGTACCAAAGTGCCTGGAACTGAAATGATGGCCAGACAGACGGATGAACTCAAGGACAGACAAAGACAGATAGATGGACAGTTGACAGCCAATTTCATTAATTAAAAGATAGTACAGTGACCATGTTTTATCTTTATCTTTTTCTTTACTCTGCAGATAAATATCAATTCATTGAAGAGACATCTGAAAAAGATAAATTAAAAAAAAAAAAATTCACTCTGAACAATCCAAACCCAAATAATACCAAACTTATTACAATGATTCTTTCATATTTTAATTTTGAAATAATATTAATTCATTTTAAACCCAGTATCTAATAAGTTCACTGAATTGTGTGTTATCAAAAATTATTATGAATCACTGGACAGAAATAGAATGCCAGGTGTTTTGGGAATTGGAAGGTTTTATGGACCAGAACAGAAATGATATGTATCTGTTATGGTACCAAGTCACAGCATCCATTAACCTGTGTTTGGTTTGGAGCTATAATTTGTTGTGTGTACAATGTTGATCTTATCTCTCAACCACAGGAGGTTCAGTATTCTGCCATAATTACACAAAGATAAGCCCTCCATTATCATCATTATTAAAAACAAGTTTACATGCACACTGTTCATGTGGGAAAATATCACAGAGAACACATAGGATGCTCGAAGTTAATTCCTCCACATTATCGATAGTCAGACTCCTCTATCAATGCCTTGTGTTAGACAGCTACCAATGATATAGCTTACAGCAAAAAACCCTGAATACACATAATAATAACATCAATGTTCATATTTAATTGTTGATTGTCATAAGGGACCCATATAGGCTTACATACAGAGGAACAATATGATACCATTAAATATTTCTTATCTGGAATGGAAATTTAAAAAAAAAAATCTATACGAAAAATAAAGGAAATTTCAATCCAGGAGAGTTGACGAGTCCATATAGATTCATCTTTGCTTGTATGATGAAATGATTCAGTGCATACTGAAATGAAAGACAATATCATAAAAAGTAGAATGGACAATAGACCTTGTCACTGACAGTGTCTTTAAACACAAATTTTGGTTGGATTGCCTACGATTAAGAAACACCAATACCGTGTTGACAACTACAGTATTTGTTGAAGTGAATAGTAACAGACAAGGAGAAATTGGCCCCATATGATATATCTATAGTGACAATCAATATCTACAGGACAGCACAGGACAGTTTATACTGACTGATGGATGCACAGCAAAAATCTATTAAAGCACTGCACATCTTATAAACATCCATGTCTGGTCTGAGGTGTCTGTCTGGAGCGTTCCTGTAAATGGCTTCCAACTGTGCAGCTACTTGAAAGTTCCCTGAGATGTTAAAGTGGAATTGTCCCTTCGAAAGCATCTGTACAGAACTGACCTGTCTAAGGCATCTGTACAGAACAGTCCTGTCTAAGGCATCTGTGCTGAACTGTCCTGTCTAAGGCATCTATACAGAACTGTCCTGTCTAAAGCATCTGTGCTGAACTGTTCTGTCATAGGCATCTGTACAGAACTGTCCTGTCTAAGGCATCTGTGCTGAACTGTTCTGTCATAGACATCTGTACAGAACTGTCCTGTCTAAGACATCTATACAGAACTGTCCTGTCTAAGGCATCTATACAGAACTGTCCTGTCTAAGGCATCTATACAGGACTGATCTGTCTAAGGCATCTGCACAGAACTGTCTTGTCTCAGGCATCTGTACAGAACTGTCCTGTCTAAGGCATTTGTGCTAAACTGTACTGTCTAAGGCATCCGTTATCTGCACAGAACTGTCCCGGCTAAGACATTTGTGTTGAACAGACCTGTCAAAGGCATCTGCACAGAACTGTCTTGTCTAAGGCATCTGTGCTGAACTGTTCAATCTCAGGTATCCCTGCTTAACTTTCCTATATTAGGTGAACATGTTAAAATGTCATTTTGAAGCATTCCTGTGGAAATGTCCTGTTTGGTAAAATATCACTGATGTCAGAAATCACTTTTGAAGGTCATCGTAAACATATTACAAAGTCATTGATGGCTAAACATATCTAGGATTATCAAAAATGAATTTCAAAGACAAAGGCAATTGTTTGATGGGTCATTCAGTTAGAAAATGAACATCACAAGGTCACTGATGACTTAGAATCAGAATTGTCTAAAGAGATCTGAAGGTCAATGAGTAGAAATTTGACAGTTCAAGGTCACTGACGACTTAGAATTGGAATTGTCTCATGAGGTATGAAGGTCATTGAGTAGAAAATGGACATCACATGGACAACTGATGACTAGTAAACACGTGATGGAGAAACAGATGTCAAGTGTCAGAAATAGTATTTTATCATTTAGATTCATTGCAATGTAATTTCAACCATGTTTTATTAATTCAAATTTAAGGCCTGCAACTGGACCTCATTGACTGATTTCAAATTACACAGTTCTTTCGAAATACCTTCTTTCAGCAAGTCAATGTAATCTTTCAATTGTCACTTCTTTTTTTTAGTTTTTTCTTAATAACTGAATTTTAAAAATTACAAAATGTAAATCTGAAATTATATAGTATAATCATTCTGTACTAGAAAATATTATATATCTATATTAGATATTTGTATTTTCATTTTGCCATATGTGTAAGATTTCAGCATAAGAGGCAAAGTTTAATCTGTTCTAATGATAAATGTACATTTAATAATATCTTGTGTAACACACTTCAATATTTTGTCATGCACATTAACTCTGTATGAGGCATTGATTTTTGTTAAAATCCTAGTTAGCATAGTAAATAAATCTTGAGCAAAATTAAGACTGAAATTAGCTCATAAATTTCTCTCTTAACGTTGACTTGCAGTATCATGTAACTCATTAGTAAGGAGAAAGAGAAATAAAGTATCCCAGTTTTATCTAGGAAGCCATATATTATGAATGCTGCTCTGATAACCAATTATGATACTTTCAAATGAGGTTGTGTGAGGTTACCTTTTACAAGTTTTATAGATGGTAAAGAGAGAAATTTAAGTCATGTTCTTCAAAGTGAAATGAATAAAGTAATAATGTGATTGTATCTAACATCATACTCAGTGATGATGTAGAGGATGTATCTTACATCACACTCAGTGATGATGTAGAGGATGTA